TACAATTCATGTAAAACTTATGATAAAACAATATATATTTTGTGACTACATAATATCATGTTTGTCTTCATTGTCCACACAATACATTTTCAAATATATGTGAACGAACATGTTTTTTTGTATTGGTTCATCTTTTTCTACTATCTTTTTATTATTTGACTTCTTTGTTTTATTATCTAATATTTATTTTTTTATTGTTGCAGTTTGTCTTTTTTCATTGGACTTTATCTCCTACATGATTTTTTTATTTGTTGAACTTTTTCTCTATCTTGTGTCTTCGTGATTTTTTATTCTTTGTTTCTTCTTTCATTTTTTGTTTCTTCTTCAAAAATGGTCCATAACGAAACCAGATCATGAATCACAAATCCATATTTGATTCAACTTATTCAAGTTGCTAATCAAAATACAAAATCATTTACCATATGAACTTATGAAGAATATCTGAACATCTAATTTCGTTGGATAAATAAAATTTATTTCTATGGTTTTAAAACAACTATATATATATATATATATATATATATATATATATATATATATATATAAAATAATACTCATAATAATATGTTAGAAAGGACCACATCAATACCATTTATTTTTTTTGGATTAGGAAATTAAATTAAAAATTTACAAATTATAATTTAAAAAAATAAAATTTAAACTAAAATAATAATAAAACCCAAAGGAAAAAAAGAAGAAGGAGAAAGAATAGAAAGAAAATAATAAAAACTGAAAAGAAAATTTATTTAAATTGTTTAATAAAAATATCATCTTGTTTTTCATTTATGATTAGTAAGCCTATTTTTAAAAAAAAAAAAATCTCACGTTACTTAGTTTATTTTTATATCTCCCTCATTTTATTTGTGCATCGTTTTACCATGTGTTTGTGGTCTGATATGTATTCTTTTTACACCCCATTCATCACCATAATGATTTTTATCACATCTTTTTCCAATGTGTTTGTGGTCCTATATGTATTCTCTTTCCTTTCTTTTTACACTCCACTTAAAATGATTCTCACTCATGAGGTGTCAGACACATTTTTACACATGTTAATTCTTTTTCCTTTCTTTTGACACGTTTTTAAAATTTTCTCCAATCTTCTGGCAGTCACACTTTTCATACCTTTTGGTTTATCAACTTTCTTTTTGAAAATATGTTAGAGAGGTGTGAAATATGAATGTTCATATAAATACTAATGTTAAAGGTCCGGGAGTTTTTGAACAAAAATCAGACAAGGAAGGAATGAGAAGGGTTCCACCGACAAAAGGAGATGAATCAGAAAAGCAATTGAGGTCTGAAAATGGTAGAAGTTAAAAGTTGAAGAAATCACTACAAAAGTTTTTAATTACTTTTTCATTGAATTTTAATAAAATACTTTGCTATGCTTTGGTTTCAGAATGTGTAAGATTAATTGTGGGGTTTTTTATTCTTACATTGAATACTCGTTTGGAACGTCCCTGTTTCTTTTTTACTTAGCCTTATAATCTGTACTTTTTAGATATAGTTATTAAGCCTTTCAATCACAATAAGCGCATATGTCAACGTACATAGTGTTAATTAAGGAGTAAGAGAAATGAGATCAGATGTTAAATGTTAAGGAGAAAGAAAGAAAATTGATATTTTTAAACACATGTAAAAAAATACAAAAAATATTTTTTTATGATATTTTATTTTCGTAATAGCAATGTGTAAATCTCAAAAATACAGTATAAAACCATATAATAGAATGATCATATATAATAATATTAAAACTCAGTTCTTACAAAGATAGGAAGTACGGTTAAGGCCGAACGACCTTACAAAAATAGCACAGAGTTAAATGTCAAATGGTTACAAATATAGAACGAATGACTTATAACCCTTCCTATGCTGAACGGTCAATAAAAAAGGATAGTAAACGAATGACCGAACGCTCCTACAGAAGTAGGCCAACAACCACCTAGCATCCTAGTCGACCTTCACGTCCTTCTCTTCTAATGTTTCTTCTAGCAACTTTCCTCCTTCTGCCCCCCCCACAGGGTAATCATCGCAATGACAAGACGAACGAACGAAAATACATGACAAGACAGGATAGGGAAGCTTATGTAATTTAATCCAAGTATCAACATATATTTCACACAATCAACTAAACAAGATAAATCATTAACTCTTTCATGCAAAACCTAATACTAGACTCTGACTGTCCGGACTGTATGAATTTTGTGTAGCTACGACGTTCGTGCACTCGGGTGATGTAGTAACTGGGATACCCTCAACAGTTGTCACCCGAGGTTAGTCCTATCTATCCAAATTAACCATAAGGACTAGGACCTCCTGACATTCCCACACATGACTTACCCTTCTCTACGTGAGAACGAGTAATCACGAAATATGAGGATGAACCGCCAGCTTAACTTTATCCACATTCATACTTTACCAATTCCAATATCCATTCATGAGATATTCCTCCCCAGAATACTCTTTCATAACCAAAGTCATTTCTCCATATCATATTCCATCTATTCATTATTAACCTCAACTTAAACCAATTTGAATGAGATCCCGTAGGATCACCAAATTACCGACAACGTAAGTTTTTAACCTAGAACAAGACTGAAAACTGGAGTGGAGACCGAGATATCTCCAACTCAAAACAGATCAATCGAGAGAGTTACTCCACTGTTGTGAAAGGAGACCAAATACAAAATACTTCTCAGAGAACTAAGAGAATCGAACGTTATTTTCAAGTGAGCCAATTTAATAAACTAACTTTGAGAGTTCAAACCGAACACTGTAAAGCCTAGGCTCGAGTACTAAGACTCTAGGACCGAAACCAATTAAGACAGATATTGTAGGAACATCAAATAATTGTACGTTGACAGAATCATATGAAGAAACCGAACGCCAATAAATACTTAGCATTCTTACTGGTTAAACATAAGGAAGAACTGAATGCCAGTCGAAGACCGGGCACTGTAGTAGAACGACACGCTATTGAGTTTGGATAACGCTCTTATTATAAAGATAAGCTTACAGGAAATGAGAACGAGCGCCTGGTGTAACGAACCGACCACCTTAATTAGTACGAGCGCTTGGTGTAGACGATCACTACTTAAAGAGCTTGGTTAAGAGAAGATAATAAGCGTTGGTCATGTAAGACCGAGCACATACTCCTTATAGAATAAAGGCTTGATAAATAATCGATAATCATTTAACTACTGGTTCAGAACGAACGAAAGATAACAAATACATATAGTTATACTGAAGTTTATAATTAATACCAAGGAACGAATATCCTGGTTGAATGCTTAAGTACAAATATTACAAAACGAAACGAAACGCTAGTCTTCAACTAGAATCCTCCAAATGAAAGAGTCTAGTTCCAACCCGAGTCCACAAGAAACTGAACACTCTATCGAACAGCGTTGGCATAATACCAAACACTTATTAAGAACGAACGCTGTATAATTGAGTTGTCAATACTGAACTCTCGACAACATGGTCTAATACCAAACAACTTATTAAGAACGAACGCTACGCGAATGACCTTGTAATAATTAATGGTCAATATGACTCTCGCCACATCCCTACCCATTTCATGGCTTTCATTAATCATCAATACTTTTAAACAACATACCATATTTCATCATCAACCAAATCATCAAACACAATATCATTCCAGTTTGTCATCTCTTAGATTCATATACTCATACAACCAACAATGCAGTAACAACCAGATTTCATATTCATTCAACAATCAATGAACATGCATCCATTCAAATCAACAAAATAAATCAAATTATATAAGTTTCCCTTACCTCTAAGCGTGACCGAACGTTCACAGAGGCAGAATACGGGTTCACCACTATGGTTTCTTCTACCCTTAAAGCTCACCGATTTCAAAACTATACCAGAGTAAAGGACCAACACACTATCAGAATTAAATATGGAAAGGTGATCAACTCAAGCAATAAAAAAACTAGGCTTGCATGCATAGAAAAACCACTCGGCTGAGAGAGATGAACTTACCAGTCCATAATCTGAAACTGATCGGTTCAAACAAACGCCTTCGACGCCGGGAAAGTAGAAATGGTGCCTGAGTGGTGATCGGAGGAAGGAAAGATGAAGATTTCTTAGAGAGAAGTAAGAGCTTTTTAGAGAGAAGGAGGAGAAAATGGTTTCAGAGATTTGGAGATGAAGGTAAACATGCAGAAGTGACGTGAACTTTTGAAAACCTAGAATTTTACTCCTACCGTCATTAGCGAACGACCAACCTCATGCTGTCACCTGTTTTCCACTCTTTGCAGCTCTCTTCCTTGACATTTGTCTTCCACTCAAATAAGATTTTTAGTGAGTTTTAAATGGGTTCTAACACAGTGTAAAAATATCAACCTAAAATTATATATATTTTAACTTTAAGAAGAATATATAGATCAACTAAATAATGACCTTTGAAATAAAGACCACATTGTCAATATTGTCATGCAACTAACCAAACATAGGGATAGCAGATCAATCATGAGACAACATAGTCATAACATAAAATAATATTACTGGCATGGGTGATTATGCTTAAATTATGTTGATGGTATATTGATGAAACTCATCGAAATACATGACAAATTTTATATAGCAATTTCTTCTTGCATTTCTATAAAAAAATCTGTGTACTCCATAAATTTATTTCCTATTTTATCCTTTTTAAATTCTACAATTTGAAAATATTTTTTATTTTTAGATTATATACTTAAGAAGTCATTATATGATTCATTAGAAATATTTATAAATTATATATATATATATATATATATATATATATATATATATATATAATTTATAAATATTCAATAGATTGTAAAAATTTAATTGAGATTCAATTAAAAATTATAAAATTTATTATTACCCTAAATTTGATCAAACCTTGAAATTTTAACTTTATTTAGTTTTTTTTTTTGGTGAACTAATTGGAAGTCCATTTTTTGCTCTTTACAGTTACAGTTGCAATCTCGCAGCTGGTTAATAGTTGCTACAACTCTAACTGTATTCACAGTTTGGAGGTTCAAATGAAACTGAGGGTTGTCTGCAGAAAAATTTACGACTACATAAGGTATGATCTCAAAGAAATCGCTTTCCCCTCTTCATTGCCGGATCCTCCTCACTTAAAAAAGCGTCGCAAATTGACCAGGGATGAGCGTATCTGGGTATGGGTTTAGGGTTTACTTTCCTTCTAATTTTTACCCGTTAACTCAATCAGAAATAGCTTATCGTGGTTGACATACATGGTTTTAGGGTTTATTTGTTCATGTTGTTTGTGGATTAGTTAGTTGTCTGAGTTAGTAATTTAGATTGTACTGATACATTCAATGTCCAGGTTTTGAAGAGAGCTTCCAGGCTTTATGCCGCAAGCTGGGTTCGTGACATTGGTCCTGACCTTCGGCCAGACGATTACAAGAAGGATGACATGGCTACTGAAACAAATGATGAAAAGAGAACAGATAAAGGAAAAGAACCCTCAACACTTGAGGATCTCGGTACCATCTTTATGATTGAAGTACAACGGTTCTTATTGCTGTGGATTTATTGAACACTAGTTATTCTGTACCTATACTCTTTGGTGTATCTGACATAGTTGAGCAAGCGTGAATTGTTGTAAACTCCCTCACATGTTTTCAATTCCAACTGATAAACTGTGTGTTCATCTAGTTATGTGAACTACTTAATCAAACTATAATGTCTTAACGATTTACATCGAGAAAAATCAATGAGGATGCTTCTGAATATCAAGTCAGCAGTGCTTGCGGTAAAAAAGAAACTTATGATTAGCTTGAACAATTAATAGAAGGTTTTCACCAACTAGAGTGCAACCCAAATTGAGTAGAACTCTTTGTCGTTGCTATATTTTCTTCTATAAACCTCTGTTTTCAGATTTTTATTCTATAACCTCTCTCTCCTTTCTTTTTTGGTTTACGTCTTCCTACCATTTTTTTCTAGTCAAATTTTCCCTCCATAGTTTTGAATAATGAGTTTTTGAAGGTACTTTTTCATTTTGACCAAGCACGTGCATTTTTATGGAAAATTACAGCTGTAGCTGCTAGAGGGGGAATGGAGACCCTCAGACCTGCTTTGCAGCGTGTGTACATGACCAGAGCATCTGCATACAGAGATGCTCTTAAAAGTTTCATAGAAGGATACCAAGAGGGTGTTCAGCAAGTGATGGAGAAGAAGGAAGATTCCAATACGCAAGAAGATGCTGATCTACCCCCAAAAAAACCAACTTGAACTTGCTTGTAGGAAGGGTGATGCTTCTTTTCTGGTAGACCCACCAGTAGTTTGGACTAACGCATGAAGTTTGACAGAAATTAGTGCCAGTCCTCTTGATTAAAAGGTTTTAATGTACATTTCACTAAACATAAAGGGTCGAATATTCCAAATGGGTGTATTTTGGATACTATACATCTATTAGTAGATCTGAATTTTGTTTTTGCAAATTTTGTTGAGTTTTTTAATTTTAGGTGCTTATTAGTGATGTTAAAGGTATCTCTTTGCTCTCCAAAGGTATCTTTAACAGCTAGCTATAGTTAATGATGTATTATCTCTTATCATTTATACGTGCGCCCCTGAAGATACACATGAAGTTATGGTTTCAATTTACTATTCAAGTAATCACATCAAGTTATGCTTTCTTTCTTGCCGTGCTTGATCCTATTATGTGAAAGATTTTAAGCAGGGATGGGGTGGTGGCGAAGTCCTTTAATTTGATTCTCCCCATTCCTGCTTATGGATGCATGGAATACAATCACTGTATGCATTTAACACATTTCAAGGTCACTATTGCATGTTTGTTTTATTCACTTCGAGATATGTGCATTCACCTGCTAAAAGATGCTATAAGGAAATCTTCATATATGATTGACTCTGGGTTGGGTTGGACGGTATCTTTGTCTAATACTGTTTACTGGAGATCATTTTATCATTTTTCCCAGGTAGAATTACTTTGGCATCCTACTATACTGATGGCTATGCAGGTGGGCTGAATTATCAGCTGAAACTTGAGCTAGCGCTTCTACCTCGGTTTGTCATTTTTATTTAAAAATATGTATGTGGCAGACAATTTGGGTCATGAGATGCCAGGTTGAATAGTTTTGGCATTGTTGTGGAGAATGAGATGATTGAAAAGACTTGCATAATGAGAGACGAGACATAAAATTAGGTCCCCACAATATTATTGATTCCTTCTTTCGGGTGATAAGCCTGGTATATGGGTCTATTTCTTTATGAAGATTGCATCTACAGTCTTGGTCTGAATTATGGAGGAATAGTTCTTACTATTTCAGGTAAGAGTTGTATGCCTAACGTTATGGGTAGGGATTTTATTTTCAGCCTTCCCTCGTTGCCATAGTTTGCGGAGAATCTTTTATATCTCAAGTTTTGGATCACTTGTGCTATAACATTGAAGGGCATGATCTACAAGATTGTCATACATTTTAGCTTTACCATTCTGTAGTGAGAATGAATTTGTCAGGATGAGCCTGTTGAGCTTTCCATGTGAATGGATGCAGGAAAGAGCATCGTTTTGTGATTAATCTGTTTAATTTTGTTTTTGGTAGTTCATATGCTGAAACGTGAGGCTTAGGTTACCGAGATGCAAAGGGAGATTTAGTAGGTGTTGATGCTAATATGAAGACGTGCTTTATTCTTCAAGAAATAGAGTTCCCATTTGTGTTCTTTATTCTAGAGCTCACCTAAAGGAGGTACAGTGTGAGATTCGTCCACCTCTCAAAGTAATGCGAAGTGGTGTGGCATAAAAGATACACAACACTCATATAGTATTGCTCTCTTATTTTTCTCTTTAATGTCATCTGTACTGTATTACTATCTATGCATAACTGTATCACTCCTGCAGGTCAAAGCCTTTCATTTCTTTGATAGGCCATTATGTGTAGGCCAATGATAAACACCACAATCCGAGGACCCTCCCACTTGCAGAGCCAGTGTGAGCCACACAGAGAGAGATTGGACGCCTTCACTTGCAGGAGTTCAATGGGTCTCTTGTGTAAATCTTTATGGGCCCCTGATAATCGCATGACACACTATTTGATTACTCTTAAAGGTATTCTGCACTCCTGTCGTTCTTTAGCACAATTATTTTGCATTAACTTGGATGGAACTCATATCGATCATATTGATTGAAAGCAAAAAGGCTTTGTTGAAGCCACTGTTTAGGCACAGTGATCAGTTCGTGCACTTCTCTCTCCCCCTAGGTTCTCAAAAAATTTGATTATTCTGTTTCTTCTTCCTCGGTAAGATCCAAGGCAGGGACTTGTACTCGAGTTTTGGTAATTAAGTGTGCTGTATCATTGATTAAAAGCACTTCACTGAGGAGTCACATTCTCGTTTCCTCAGCACCTGCTCGTCGTCTATATAGGCAGTTAATTGTACGACAGCTAAAACTTCAGTCAGTGAAACTGTCTTTCTTCACCTGAAAATACCTCTGTTGTACCAGAAGTTTGGAATTTTTTTCACCTTGGATCCACATCACCTTAATGAATAAAAAAACATTAGAAATAGCGTGTAGGTGCGGAGGAGCTATAAACTTGAAGAGAGAGGTTTAGTGGTGGAAATCAGTAAATTCTAGTGGACCAAAACTATTTCACTCATTGTGTCTTACCCAATAATCAGTTAATAAGCCAGCAAAGAAAACCTGAGGTTGCCATGCGTCTATAGCGTTGAACTAGGCTTTAAAAGGTATTTGTAAGTTGTGAATTACACAATTAAGAATTTATAGCTGATATAAACAGCATTCAATTGAGCCGTACTGCATTGCCCGAGTGACATCCTGTTTTTTACTTGCTTGCTCGTTAAGGATATCCTTGTCTCCCTTTTAGTTCATGGTCTATATTCTCCATTTTCCCATGTTTGTTTAAACATTTTACCCCAGTTACGTTGTGAACGTTTTTCTCTTCCCTTTTTATATCATTGCGTGTTGTTTATAGTTTGCAAAAACTTACATCTGCACACAACAGACCATAAAAAACAGGTCTGGCCACAACCGGGGTGGGGGTGGGGGGGACCATGGTCTGTTGACGTGCCCAAATTTATTTGTCTTCAGCTTCCCCAGATAAATGCATCATCAGATATTTCTACCTGAAAATTTGCATGGAAACAAAGTTTGAAATATCAGCTCTTAGGAAGCCAAGTCCAAATATCCCCCTTGGAATGATGATCATTCCTGTAGGCTCTAGCAGCTAATCTATATCTGCACATATAATATGGATATGGATTTTCTAAAATAAGTAATATTAGTTGTTGATGATACAGTCATAATTTATGTATGGTTGAAATTACACACCTTGTGGGATTAGGGTATTGTTTTTTGTTTGAGATTACTTATTTTACCAACATGCTTACTTTTAAGATAGCGGGATCCATATAATATACGCCCAGTTGAGATGTGAGTACCACCACCACTAAGAGGTGGAAGCATATAGCATGTGGTTTTGTGTTGCTTAACTAGAGGAGTGGGCTTAGTAGTACGTCTTTGGCTGTGTTATCTATCAAGTCAAGTCAAGTCCACCCACCCACCCATCATACCCACCAATGCCAAATAGCAGCACACCATCTGTGGCACCATACCTTACCTCCCACGTATATTATGATGAGCCCTTGTGAAAATCTTGAGGCAGAATCCCAACAGTAGCAGATTGATTCCTCATTTCTGATTTCCAATGACCTAAAATTCTCCATTTAGCACTGGGATGACGTCACCCAGCTCTCTCAGTGGGCCCATCAAAACCTCTCCATACCTTACCTTCTGAATCTGCCCTCTGGCTGCAGTCTCTTTTCTTTTCCCATCACTACTCTCCACCCTCGGGGTTTACTCATTGCTCTACTCTTCTGGTGTGAAAGTTTGGTAAGAAAATCAGGGATTCGTTTCTTTTTCTCCCTTCTAGTTTTTCTATTATTTTTCTTTCTGCCCCTCCCCTCTTCATTTCCCTTTCCCTTTCCCTTTTAGTCTGTGTTTGAGGGGAACCTGACAAGTGGGTTAATTGGATCAATTATGAGATGTCGCATCCACCTATCGTTGTCCTTGGTGATTTCTCTTCTGGTTGACATCCTGTTGCAATCACGCATCGACAGATTATGTTAATTCCTACTTTTTTTTCCCACTGCAGTTGAAAACATTTAAATAGTTATGACACATACCCCATATAAAGTAAGACGTGCCATTGATTTTATGAAGGAAAAAGAGAGGAATGTAAGGAAAATAAAGGTATTGATCAGTTTATCTAAAAAAATCGATTAAATTCAAAAAATTTATTGGTGATTTTCATTGATTATCATGTGCATGCTTTATTTTTCCTGCACGTGTTGAGTGTATGGTTGTGTAAAGTGTACATAATATTTTGACTGTTTCTCCAATGGGTGTTTCTCCTGAGGACTCCAAAGTTAGCAACTCAATTAATACATTTCTAATGGTTAGATTAGTTCCATAATAAAAGGAGGTATAAGGGTTTTGGTAGAAACTTTCTGTACGTGAAAAGTTATGAAAAAAATTGTTTAAAGAATCAACAGAACATTTCTTTTTCCGGATACCAAAATATGGGCGAAGCAGGTAATCCCATAAATTCAGGATTCTACAGTGGGATAAACTACTCCACTATGACTCGAAGAGACACTAATTGATTAGAACAGCTTTGTCACAATGGAAAGGCTAATTACATGGTTGGTTGACTTCCATGTGTCGCAGATTTATCGAGTTCGCTTTAGGGGAGTTTTGGATCAACTTCTCAACCATATATATATATATATATATCGGAAAGACAATCCACTGCATTCGTTATGTTTAATGGTGAAACTTAATTAAAAGGTTTTCTTTCGGAGAGATTTAATTATAATCCGTTTTTCCCATACTTCAAACTTCTAATTGTATGGCTAATAATGGTTGGTAGACCACACCACCAAGTGCACATCAAACAAAGTGGGCCAAAAAACAAATGAGATTACCCAATTAACTGTGGTCCACGGTTAATCTATTTGCACTCGTTGCCCTTCACCACTTAATTGTAGAATTAAATAGAGAATGAAGCTAGCTCTGTCGGGGTAAAAGGAAACCAACAGTAGTTTTCCATCCATATTAATCCAAGATGCTGAATCAATTAAATGAACGAAGACAATCTTGACTTCATCAAACTTCACATGACTCAAATTAAGTCTACTCAATTCATGTTATATTTAGTTTTGGTTTATAATATATTATGTAGGGCTTTGCCCTTGGCCCTTTTAATATTATATAACGGGTGTGAGTTTTATGCATCGTCAGTGTAAGAATCTGGCACTGTCAATCAACAAAAGGTCAAATTAACATGAATTTGAGGCGATTATTGTAAAAATTAGAAGAAGAAAAAACTGTAATTTGGTGAGATTTAAAGTGTGCGAATGTATATAGTATATATAATAATAAGAGGGAAAGTTGATGGAAAAGATGTTGGACGATCCATCTGGCATTCACAGCTTGGTTTATAATAAAATAAATATGCTGGAGTGAGAGGGAACAAGAAGATCCGGTAAAACGAATACAAAGGCATTTCCATTTGCATGCATCTCCCTAATTCAAGACAAGAAAGATCGTCTACAATCTTAACGTCAACCTAAATATACTTAGAATAAAGAGGGGTTGATGTTAATGGCAGGATGATTGACTAAAAGTAATTAAGGGCAGAGAGAGAGAGAGAGAGAATTAAAGGTGATTGATTGTAATTGTATTATTACGGTTGTTGACGTAGCATGTGGTGATGGTGAGGGTTGGAGGAGGAGGAAGAAGAAGAAAAAGAGGTAGTAGTATGAGGGTGTAAGAGGTGGTGGTGGGAAAGTGTTGTTGTTGTTGTTGTTGAGGAGAGAGTGTAAGAGGATAGTGGCGTGGAGTTTTGGGAATCCTTATCAGGTTGGCATTCCATGTTCACCCCAAACAGCCTCAGCACCCTGCCACCTGAACTGTTCCCTCCCGGTGTCGTTTGGTTCTGTCCTTGGGACCCTCCACCTGTAAGCAAAAAACATTACAACACGTGCAAATGCCCGCGCTTTAATCATACACATTTCATGTTCCAATCAATTCTTTTAACCATATACTACAATACCATTTTCAAATTCCACCCCACCAACCCAACAAAAACATCTGCAAATTATCAACACCCCTCCTCCTATCTTCAAAATCTCATTCCTATTTTTCACCACCTTTACTTCAACCATATCTCGAGCGTGCTCCTCACGCGGCACACTCCCTCTTCTCTACGCAATCTCACTCAATTCCTAACCCACATTTCTTCCCAATCCAAAACTAAACCAAACACTGTGTAAATAATAAATATACAGAAGATAACGTACCTGGTGGTGCATGAAGGGACTGAGTTTGGTATGGGAAAGGGAGCTGATGCGCAGGATAAGGGTGCGCAGAGTAGAAGGAGGGTGTTGCGGTGGTGGTAACGTGAGCGGGGGGGTTGGCTTGGCGGCGGGAGGAGTTGATGAAGAAGCGTTGAGGATGGGTACGGTGTCTGTGGAAGAAAACAACGTCGCCAGCGTGGAGGCGTTTGTCCTTCACGTAACGGCTCCATCCTTTGGTCAAAACGTAACTCTGGCTACTGTTCCAATAAGAGTAACGGAAACGCCAGCACTTCCCGGACTCGTCCTCGAAACTCAGTAACACGCCCTTCGCGCTGTCACCGCACGACGACGATGACGACGACTCCAGCGGGAAGTGCTTCTCCGCGTGTTGTTTTGGGATCACCAACCGGTTCAGCTTTCCCACGTCGCTCGGCGTCAGCGGCTTCTCGAACATCGCTTCCTTCTCCTCCTCTTCCGCCGCCGCCTCCCCACCAGCACCAGCAGCAGTAGCTTTCTCCATCACCTCCTCGTCCTCCTCGTCCACCTCCTCCTGGTTGTCATTCAGGTTGAAACGAGGAGTGTGAGAGTTTCCGAGCCACGTTGAGGCTTGATGTTGGTCGGTCCAGTATAGTCTGGCTTCTGGTGAGTAGTGGTTTATCGACATTGAGAGCTGCTGTAAATAGAGAGAGAAAGAAGGAAGAAGAGAAGAGAAGGGGCGTGTGATGATGATAATGATTATGGGTTCATTTGATGTGGAAGCTGGGGGAATCACTGCCTGTTTGATGGACCTAGCAAAGATATGACAATGAGAGAGAGAGAGAGAGAAAGAGAGAGAGAGAGAGTACAGAGTACTTTAAGGTTATGTAATGTGCCAAGTGCGTTACTATATGAAGAAGAAGAAAAATAATAAAAAGACAAAGTCTTATTTTGGGTGTTTCGAATTTCGATGTTTTTTTTCGGTTTCTTTTTAAATTAACGTTTTTTTTATTTTATTTGTTTCCGTGTGAACTTGGTGGTATTATTAGGATGGTTGCTTTTTCTGTTCTGTTAAATGGAATGATAATGAAAGTGTGTGTGTGTGTGATGAGATCGCAGAGTTGTATTGTATGTGTTGTAAGTGAGACACGGTGAGATTTTTAAAATGAAATAATTACTGAATTGGACCGAACATGTATGTTTGTGAGGATGAGAGAGAGAGAGAGAGAGATTGCAGAGTACAGGTGAATAATTTGGTGTAATTAGGGACATCCCATGTTAGTAATTTGGCTTACAAATCAAGTGATGGGACCCTTTCTCCCAACCCTCACCACTCATCATAATTTCTTTCTTTCTTTCTTTCTTTCTCAACACTTTAACTCCACACCATTTTTCATTTCTCCTTCTTACCACTATTGCTACTGTTTTCTGCTTTAAATATGTTGTTTTTGGTGATATTAAATATATTTTTCTCATGTTTAGTAATGGAGAAAATAGTGTGAATTTGAATAATGGTGGCATGGATGGAGGGAAAAACTAACTTAGAGTGGTCCACGTACGTCCTCCACAAGTTGTGTGTTGAATATGAATGTAAATGAATATAGGTCTGATTCATTTGAAGTCTTCTGAAAATGTATTATGGTGAAGATAATGAAAGAATAGTGTTGTGTCACGTGCATGACTTCATTATTGGTGTTTGGCCATTCCTGGTTTTCAAATTAAGGAAGCTATACATGAAATTGAATGCGTCATGGAGACAGCCAAGAGAAGAAAACAGCACAAACAAACAAAGGCATGGGAGGAGTAAAAATTTATTTCCACACATAAACTTTCTCCTATCTTCTTTCCACTTAGCAAAGAGTAATCAGATTTCATTTCACCAATTACAGAACACACAAATCCTGCATCATATTCGTGTTTCAATCCCCACCTCGCATGTCTCTGCTACACATAATCACACTCTCTCTCTCTCTCTACTTATTATATGGTCCTATTGCTGTCTACTCATCTTTATTTTTTTATACATACTTCTATATATAATAATTTCTTTACTTAGATTATGTCTTTTCTATGAGTTGGAGACAAAACCCACCTCAGTTTCCAGGTAGATTCAGACACCCTTTTTTGCCCTACAAAAGGTTTAACTCATTTCTTTAGTTTAAGTATATATAAATATATGTTGGGGACACATCTATATGATAAAAAAGTTGTTCGGTGTTCTTTTTCTTTTTTATTTTATTTGAATTTTCAAATTAAATAATCATCTTGGCGTCATCAGAGAAATATCTATGGCCAGTGTGTGTTTTAGTTATTATATTCATCAGAAATTAGAAATATTGCACATTTTCAGGATTAGATGTCAATGAGGCTTTATTCTATCAGAAAATAATGCACACTTGTTAATGCTCACTGTCATGTCACGAAACCTTGGATGCGACGGTCCCATAAACCAGAAATGCTTGGCGAGTGCAATTAATTCACAGAAGGGACCATCAAAATGGCGGGTCCTGTAAAATGATGATACATGCTTACATGGAAGTAAATAACAAATTTCCATGTTTTCTCAAAAATACTATTTCTTCAACTACTTGCATAATTAATTTTACAGCAATAAAAAAAGACAGAAAAAGAGAGAAGTATGATATATAATTATCTTCGGAATTGACTGAGAAATAAGAAGAGAGAAAAAAAATATCATTTTGTATAAATAAAACCATCCCAAAGATGTTGGTCGGCTAATTGCTGGAATCATTGACCATGAAGAAATTATGGCACTGGGCAAGGTGAGAATCTGTCTTGTTAATTGCTCGAGTGTGGTGTGTAGTATATGACTCTGCAAAACATGTCAATATATTTTTATTTTTTTTATATAAACGTCAATAGTTAATTTCAGGGGAAACTGTGACACAGAAGACACCCCCACGAGATTTTTAAGGAAAGTGGGGCAGGAACAGGCACATGGAAAACAAAAGAGATAAAATATATACATTGATGTATTAACAGAACTATATATAAATTACAGCAAAAAGAAAACTGTCATGCTTTTATGACAGTATATTTCGTAATAAATAATTCAGGTGGTTAGTTAAAGTCTTTGTCTTTGATTTAGCAATGAATCAGTGTATGGGGAGAAGCTAGCCAGCATTTTTATATATATCTGGATTTTGTGTTGTTTAAATTTGTTAGTTTTAAAAGGTGAAAGAGATGATATGATTGGTTTAACTAAATATTTTGTCTCATGCAAGAGAAATGAGAGAAAGTGTTCCAGATTGTAATACTTAGTTCATTGTAGCAGTTATAAATTCCGAAAGCAACTTGTGAAGAAAAGGCCAAGAACAATGTACGCAATCTATTATCTTGATACGCATCCTACAGTTTGAGTTTATCGTACAGAGAGATTAATAAAGAACTAGTCAAGTGTATATTAACCCACCTTGTGCTTGATTATGGCAGAATAATGAGCACACTTGTCAACAACTTTATAGCATTCAATTTATTCTTTATTACTAGTTTGAATTGACACTAATTTTGCTAACACACATGCATATCCGTTAGACAAGTGCAGATTAATTCATCAAATTTGTGTCTAGAATATGCTAAAACGCCAGTAGGTAAAGGTTTAATTTAAGTGGGCCAATCGCAGTGCACCTCACTTGGAAGTTATCGCATTAATCATTATAAATATAGTAATATGTTTGCATGTGGCTATATTAAAGTTCCAAATAGTACAAGGATCTCATATGCATCAATTATATATTGAGTGTGTGACCCTCTAACTCCAACAAAAGCATTGCATATACAATTGGCAAAACAGGTTGCTCAAACTATATATAATCAAGTCAAACTTCAGTAAGTCCATGCCATAATTCAGTAACTTTCCCTCATGCAATATATATATAATTTTTCTCTATTTGCTCCTTCAAGATATCCAATTCAGTGGGGACCCTAGCCCTTAAGTCTATACTTAATTAGCTTCACTTTTATATATACCTTCAGGTAACATCATTAGGTTAAATAAAGGAGTTATTCTTCGTTTTGGAGATCAAAACTTTTATTACTATTTTTTTT